TCCGAGGAATGTTCCAGAAACAGGAGGCCACCCAGCCCGACGGCGAGGGCTTTTTCGACCAACCTGCCCATCCCAAGGGGTGTACAAAACAAGCGACCACCCAGCCCGGAGGCCTTAGTCATGGTGGATTTTTGTCTTCAGGCACTTGCCCACCCAATCCGAGGAATGTTCCAGAAACAGGAGGCCACCCAGCCCGACGCCGAGGGCTTTTTCGACCAACCTGCCCATCCCAAGGGGTGTACAAAACAAGCGACCACCCAGCCCGGAGGCCTTAGTCATGGTGGATTTTTTTCTTCGAACTGCTCGAACACTTCGACCTGCCACGGAGGTCGACAAGGAAACACACCAAAGACCACGAGACAGAATAGTAATTGATCATTTTCGTTAGTCTCATCAAATGCATAGTTATATCGAGCAAGATATAAAAATAGAAAGAATCAAGCATTTTTTCGACCTCCCTTTCATGTTTGTACACGACGACCCGAGTTTTTGTTTGCTCCATGCTTCCCACTCCTCACCATAGATAATATTCAGGTCACCTGCTCATGCATTTTCCTCGACAATAATTCAACGGATCCCATTAGTTGCATTTTATCCACATCATCCAATTTGCAATCCCGATAGCAATAATAACAAAAGACGAATGAATCAAAGCAATCATATTGGTCCATATGCTTTTATAGTACACCACAATCTACATGCAAGACTCTTTACCAAGATATGAAATCGTGTAAACACCCATTCAAATGTATAGTCGACCAGAATTTCGCAAAACCATGAATTCGAAAAGCAATTACAACAAACCATACTCTGCAGCTACAAACAATCATTAAAAGAATGCACCAAACAAAAATTCGAATGAATTACTTCCAATACCGAGCTCCTTAGTTATGACGGCTCGAGACTGGCCAGCCCAAAGGCCTTAGTCGTGCCAGATTTTGTTCGAGGCTCCACGTACACCTCATTTTCTGCATTTTATTAGTCACCCAAAGAATAATTCCAGACATATCCAGATACACCACAATTTCAACAACATTTCACCCAAAATATTCAAACAATGAACATTCCTCCCAAAAAAGAGTGCTAAAAGACTCCATATATCACAAAATAGTGTCAGTCGATCTTGACCATCGACAAGAGTTGAGATTAATTTTATACCTGAAGGTCGAGAATGCCACTCCCAATTATCCTACCTCTCCAACCCAAAAAAAAAAAAAAAAATGATTTCTGCCTCTGAAATCGCCA